GCTCTGTTCAGGTGAATCTGAGGGAATGGGGAGCTTCCCCACAGCTGAGGGCAGTGCTGGTTTACAAGTGGGGACAATCTTGAGGGACAAGACTCTTGATGGTGGGATGAATTGAAGGTAGCCCATTGTCAGGTGCTGGTGTGTGTGTGTGCGCGCGCGTGCGTGCGTGTGTGTGCATGTGTGTGCGTGTGTATGTGTGCGTGTGTGTGTGCATGCATGCCTGTCTCTGATGAGGGTTAATACCCACGGCACCAGCAGGGCCTGGGGAGGAGGTGGCACTTCTAAGGGGCAGCGGGGATGCAGAGGCTGGGGAACACCAGGTCCTTTCTACCAGAGCCTCCTGTCAGAGGGCATGGCTCATACAAATTACAGGCACGTGGTGTGGGTCGTGACTTTGGGGGAGGGTGGGCACAGAAGATGAGTGTGGAGAGACAAGTCTGAAGTCCAGGAGACTCAGCAGCTACCTCAGGGGCTTCCTGTCTGTCAGGTGAAACAGCGAGGGTAGTTAGAGCCTAGGAGCTTATGCTAGGGACCTGGGAAAGTGTGGCTGGGCTTGGGGTGGCTACAGGAAGTGACCTGGGCTGACTGATGGCAGGTGCATGGCTTTGAGCTGCAGGTAGCAGCCCTCACCCTGCAGGCAGCTACAGCAGGAGCACAGTGCAGGCAGAAGCTGTGTTCCCCTCAGGCCCTCAGGCAGTGCTTTTGTCACCACCGGGAGGACGTGGCCTCTGCCCCAGGATGTTGGGAAGTCGCAGTTCATTGAAAGCCGGGAGTCACATGATCCAGTTGGCGGCTGGAAGCTTCTCCCTAAGTGTTGAGCGGGGAGTGGCCTGCAGGGGGCAGATCTGAGACAGGATCAGAAAGGTGCCTTCTGAATCCCAGCTCCTGTCTGTCTGTCTGTCTGAGCTCAGGAAGGGAAACTCAGTGGCAGAGGATGATGGTGGTGTTATGTTTCCCATGCAGCCCTGTATCTCTTCCATGCCCCTCTTCTCTGCAGAGCTAGAGCGAAGTCTTAAACCCTACAGCCTGGTGCGTCCACTGCTGGTGTCTGCCCTGCGGCCTGTGGTGCTCCTGCCTGAGTGCCTGGCACCCCGACTTATCCGCAACCTGCTGGATCTGCCCAGCTCCAGGCTGGATTTCCAAGTGTGCCCTGCAGGTGAGTCTGCTACCTGGGTGGGTGAGTGCATTGGCGCCCGGCGGAGAGGCACTGGGTGGCACTGGACGGCCGAGCCTGTGGCCCCTCGTCCTGCATGTCCTTGTTCTTAGCAGAAAGTTTCTCTGGAGAGGAACAGTGCACACCCTCAGCTCCGGGAGCCCCCAAGGCCTGGCCATCCACCCCAGGGCTGGGCAACAGGATCCGTGCCATCCAGGAGTCCGTTGGGAAGGTAAGTGCTGGAGGGGACTAGGCTGCCACTTGGGACCGTCTCCTGGGCTCCGCAGTGTCTCCCTGTGCTGGCTGGGCTGTGACCATGGCTCTTGTGGTCACCCTGAGGTGTGGACTGGCCCGTCTTACCTGAACACCCTTGTTTCTGAACTTCCTCTGTCCTGCCTGCTGGCTGGGGCTGCGGGGAGGCGGCTGGCGGGGGAAGTGCCAGTTGAGACCCAGGTCCTTCACCTGGGAGCCTGAGTCTCAGGTCTGCTTTTGCTGATGAGCAGGACTTTCTCCTGGGAGGTGGTGACAGGCGGGTGCAGCAGGGAGGTGGTCCCAGGAGTAAGCTGTCTGCCTGTGCCCCGAGCAGAAGCACTGTCTGCTGGAGTTGGGTGTACGGGGCGTGAGGGAGTTGGTGCAGAGTGAGGTCTACCCCATCGTCATCCATGTGGAGGTGACTGAGAAGAACGTCCGTGAGGTCAGGTGAGTGGTGGCTCTGCATCTGACTGTCACCTGTTTGTCCATCTGTGTGTGCATGCTTGTATCCTGTGTGTGTGCGTGTGTGCGTGCGTGTGTGCATGTGTGTGCGTGTGCATGTGTGTGTGTGGGTGTGCATTTACCTTTAGACAGGGTTAGGTCTGTAGCACAGGTCTGTATTTTATATATCATGTACACGTGTGTATCAGGTATATGTACTATGTGTCTCATGCCATATCATACATGTGTCATATGTGTATCATGTGTGTATATGTTCTGTGTGTATTACATGCATCATGAATTATAAGTGTATCTTGTCTATGTATCATGCATATCATATGTATAACCCTCATGCCGTATGTATATCAGGCATGCCACACATAATATATATTATGTATTATAAACATATCGTGTCATATGTATATTATCCTTCTGTTGTATTGTGTGTGCTGTAGTTGTATGTGTGTATTGGGTATCAGTATGTACTGGTACGTGATATGTGTGTTGTCTGTCATGTATGTGTATGCATATACTGTGTATCATGTGCGTGTATCATATGTGTATTGCGTGTGTGCACGTGTGCGCAAGCGCAGCCTGCTCTGATTGCTGCCCTTCTCTACAGGGGCCTGCTGGGCCGGCCCGGCTGGCGGGATTCAGAGCTGCTTCGTCAGTGCCGGGGCTCCGAGCAGTGTCTCTGGGGACTGCCATGTTCCTGGGTGCAGGTGCCTGCCAATGCATGGGGCCATGCAGAGGAGCTGGCCAAGGTGGTGCGGGGCCGCATCTTGCAGGAGCAGGCTCGCCTAGTGTGGGTGGAGCGAGGCAGCAGCCGAGGAGGCAGCGGCGGCAGCAGCGAGGCCTGAGGCCCCATCCTATGCCCAGGACTCTTCCAGCCACTCTCCAGACCTCTTCCATCGGATGCCTGGGACTCCACCCAGTGCCTGGACGCTCCCCACTGATGCCTGGGCTCCCGTCTGTGCGAGAGAGACTGCGGCTCATGAGATCCTGGGTCTGCAGTGGAGTCAGACCCTCCCAGTTGGAGCCTTCCTTGTCCCCTCCAGTGCGGGACCCCGGTCCTGGGCTCCTACCAGAGCCAGCCATTGGCTTTGCATGGGCTGTGGGAGCTCACAGGGCAGACCTTGCGCCTGACCCCGACTTGCTGCTCTGTCTCCTCAGTTTACCCCCCCCCCCCGTGTTTCCGTTTGTGGGTCTTACGAGCGTGCCTGGGCCCTCTCCTTACAGACTCACCCTGGAATAGAGTTCTCACACTGTTGTCCAACTTTGCACATATGTCCACGTGGATCTCTGATTCTGTCCCTCCGTCTGGGTGCACAAGGTCCCCAGTGTCCTCAGCCTGTTCTGCTACCATCATGTGGCCCCCACACATCCCTGTGACACTGGGCACTAACGCGTGTGTTCAGCACACCAGGATATGTTCTCTTGGCTGGCTTCCTGTTCCCCACCTGCCTCTGGGAGGCCAGGGTGGTGGTGCTGCTAGGCCGCCCGCCCGAATGTTCGGCCTGTGGGTAACTCCCAGGCCCGTTCACTCAAGCTGCACATAATGAGTCATTAAAGTTTGTCATAGAGGTTGGTGGCCTTCTGCTTGCTTCTGTCCCTCGCCCGGGGCCCCTGTCCCACCCCTCTCCTGTGTCTCCATCCCCAGCACTGGCAGATGCCACTTTGCAGGTCCCTGCCAGCCTGCTCGCTTTGTGGGCGGGGTCACATTTCCCTTGACTCCTCCCAGAGACGTTGGCCATCTGTGCAGGCATCGCCTTACCTGCCGCAGTGCCAGGTGGGGGCCCTCAGCCCTGCCTTGGCCTCGTCACTGAAGCCAGCAGGACGTGCGTGGCTTGAGTGGCTCAGGAGACCCAGAGTACCTCGTGGATGTGTGGGTGTCTCTGAGGAAGCTCCCCCGCAGTGAGGAGGGTGGCCTCCGGGGGGAGCAGTCCTGGCACACCGACTGGAAGAGGTGGCCCCTTGGCTTTGAGAGCTGGGATTTCACTTACATGTTTATTGTGTGTGCACGCAGGAGCAGGAGTTAGTTTTCTCCTTCCATTACATGGGTCCTGGGGATCAAACTTCGTCAGTGCCGGGGCTCAGGGCAGTGTCTCTGGGGATGGCCATGTTCCTGGGTGCAGGTGCCTGCCCATGCAAGCCTTGCCATCAGTAAACTTTGACAAAGGCTTCTTCACCTGCCGAGCCTTCTCACCTGCTCCCGGAGGCCTTTCTATATGGAATTTGCTGTGGTACTGCACACCTACGTGGAGGTCAGAGGCTAGCTCTCCGGACTGGGCATGTGCGTGTACCTGGGAATTGAACTCAGGTCCTCAGGCTTGCTGGCAAGCACCCTTACCCGATGAACCACCCTGCCAGCCCTCACCGTCATTTTATGAGTGATAGAAGTATCCTATCTAGTGCTGGACAGCCAGGTAGTGGCTCTGTCTGGGATCTGAACCCAGCACTGAGCCCATGCGTTCCCTGGTGTCACTGTTGTGAAGGGGTGGGCCGTGAAGGGGACAGGCTGGGCTGACTTGCCTCATTGTCCTAGAGTAGGCCTAGATCCATTCACAGCCAGGAAGCACTTTCCTGTGCTTAATTAACAAGTATTGAGGGAGTGCCTAGTATGTGCGAGGCACCGTACTGGGCTCTGGACAGTGGACAAAGGAGAAGAAACCCCTGCCCTGGTAGTCTCACGAGTCAGGCAGTAAATACGTAAAATACGCTGGGTAGCTGGAAGACAGAAAGGAGAGAAGGGTCTAGGTTTCCCCAAGAAAGGGGAATTGTTTAAACAAAGCGGACGGGGAAGTCTCATGGCGGAAATAATGTTTGTGTAAAGATTCAAAGAGAGCAAGAAGTGGTCTCTAGGGAGGATGGTGGGGTGGGCACAGTCCTGCGGTGCAGAGGCCTGATGCACGTTGGGTGATGGGGAGGGCAGGCAGGGGGGAAAGTGAGCCAGGATCCACGGCTGGGCCGACCAGGACTGTGGAGCCAGAGACAGGGCTGTGGGGCGTAGGGAGGCCCAGGGGCCCCTCTTCAGTGGGTGACTTGCCTGCCTGCAGACGCCTCCGGGGCTTCCCAGGCCTCGCCCCGCCCCTCGGGTTGAAGCGGGGGCGGGGTCAGGAGCCAAGCGGCCCCGCCCGGAGGGAGGGAGGGCCTAGGAGCAGGTGGCGGGCTGGTGGCCTCTGCCGGCTGGTGCTGGCGAGACAGTGGAGGCTCAGCCTCTGGGTCTGGAGACCCGGCTTCCTCCTTTCCCATCGGTGCCTGCCCCTCGATGCCTGCCAGACTGTTGCCCGTCCCAGGGCCCCCGCCTGACCAGCCTCCCACCCCAGACTGACGGGGGAGTCGGGGGCTTCACTGTCTGGGGGCCTGGTACCAATGCACTGCCGGGCCTTTCGGAGCCTGGCAGGAGCCCTCTTCACCCTCCTGTGCGTGGGACTCCTGTCTCTCCGATACCACTCTAGCGTGTCCCTGCGGGTGGCGCAGGACACGCTCAGGCTGAGCCAGCCGAACCCAGGGTCCCTGGAGCTGCAGCTGGCCGACATCTTCATCGCAGTCAAGACTACCTGGGCCTTCCACCGCGCTCGCCTGGACCTGCTCCTTGACACGTGGGTCTCCAGGACCAGGCAACAGGTGACAGGCGGGCCACCTTGAGGCTTGAGAGAGCTCCTGGATGAGGGGTTCACCGGGGTCTTCCCGATTTGGTCTGGGGAGAAACTGCCCCCCGGGGGGTCCTTCTGGGGTCTCTCTCCGCTCATTCTTGCCTTCATACCCACCCCCACTGCCATGCTGGGTACCCTCAGACTCACAGGCCCTTGCCCTAGGCTGCTGTGTCCTCTAAGGGTCCCCCTCTTCTCCTAGATTCTTGGCCCTATCTTGCCTCGGGGTGGATGTTGAGGGTCTGCAGGAAGGTGCAGCCCACCAGACCTGAGCAGTTGCCTACCTTGGCTCTGAGCATGGCCTTGGCTGCAAGTCGCAGGGGTGTGGTGTGGATGTTGGGGAGGTGTTGAGGTGTGGCCTGCTCAAAGGGGGCCTCCTCTCGGTTCCTGCCCCACTGTGCTGCTGAGGGGGGTGAGGGCAGGGTCTAGCCTCCTGGTTTCCTGAGCTGCTACTGGGAGACAGTGGCCCAGGCAGAACGGGCAGGAGATGACGTGGGGAGCGCCCGACATGCGGAATACCTGTGTGTGTGTGCGTGTGTGTGTGTGTGTGCATGTGTGTGTGTGTGCATGTGCTCACACACATGTACGCTAAACACAATCATAAGAGAGTGTGGCTCCTGAAAGCCGAGCTCTCCTCCCCATACTCAAGGCCCCATCAATCAAAGCCAGGGGTGGGGGGACGTGTAGACCACCTCAGGACAGGTAGAAGTGGTCTCATGACTTGTGCGCACGCGCGTGCGCGCACACACACACACACACACACACACACACACACACACACACACACACACTCGTCCCCATCGTGGCTGCTGGCCCTGTGGGAGGAAGTGACTGAGCCCTTGGAGGCCGAGGAGAGGAGACAGTTCAGTGTGGGAGAGGTGGGGGTACCCGGAGAGGGTGCCCTCCTCCCTTGTTTCCCCATCGGGCATAGACACAAGCTGTTTCCCAGTAGAGTTCCCTGCAACCCCAGCCCCTGCCCCCCCCTACAGTTTTTTGTCTTGAGGAGAGTGTGGTTCCTCCTCGGAAGCCAGCAGGGCTGGCCCTCTGTACAGACCTTCCTGTTTGTGGAGCTGCTGTGTCTGAGTGTGCCAGGGAGCAAGGCCTCACGTGGCCCCTGGCGCTTTCCTGTCTCGCTCACTGTGATGGTGCCCTAGCCCCAAAAGAGGAAACCAAGGCTGCAGATGGGGACAGGCCGGCCAGTCACCCAGAAGGCCAGTGGGTGCCTTCTGTTTCTCAACTGGGTCCCTTTCTTTTCGGGGGGCGGGGGTGTGGGCAAATCAGAGCCTCCAGGGTTACTGGAGTGCTGGTCCTGGGCCACAACTGAGGCGTTGGAGCCTGGCAGAACAAGGTTGGCAAAGAGGCCTAACTGTATGTCCCAGGTTCTCCCAGAGGCTGACGGCCTGTCAGCTCCTCCAAGGGCTGCAGTCGGAGACATAGTGCGCCTCAACCCTGCTAACCACCGCATGCACGCACGCACGCACGCACTGACCGCCCATCCACAGTGAGGTCGGGTGGAGGCAGGGGAGGTGTTGGAACCCCAGCCAGAGCAAGGGCAGAGGTGGAGGGAGGGGTGTCGGGTGTAGAAGGCAGGCAGGTGATCCTTGCTTCTAGGCTCATTTCTCCCGGTGGTCCTGGCTATGGGCCTCAGTTTCCACACTTGCACAACACGAGTGTGTCTGGAAACAGCCCTAGTTGGTTAACTCCAGTGCTGGGTACCCGGCTGGTAAAAGGTGATGGGTGACAGGTAGCCCGAGCTTCGTGTGCTGGGATGGACTCGTGTGTGGCTTTTGTCTGGCAGAGGGGATGGGCGGGGATGCTGTTTTGTGTGTTTTGAGTTTCAAGGAGCCTTTCTCCCTCCAGTCCCTCCCAGGTGGGGGCTGGGCAGAGGGAAATGGCTTCGGTCCCCTCTCCCCTTCACTGCAGCAGATGGTCCCCGGCCACCCCCTCCCCTGCCCCAGTGGCCTGCCAGCCTCTTTGTTTCCCAGTCTATGGAGCTGTAACTAACTATTGTCTGGGTCTCCCACTTAAATCAAATGCAGCCCGCTGTTTCTGCCCACCACCCTGTGTTCCCAAGAGCTAAATCCACAGCTCCCGGGCCTTCTCCAGCCCGCCCCAGACTCTAGCCTGGATCTTAGTCCTTTCCCGAATCCCGATGCACCTCCCACCCCACCTCGGCAAACATCCTCAGCCTGTTTGTCCCATGCTCTGCAAGAACGACCCAGCTCCTTGGCTGGCTCCCTCTGGAGCTGTGTTTCCAGGAGGCCTGGGTGAGGGCAGAACGCAGCCAGAGGCCAAGGAAGACAGCCTGGGGATCGGGGAGGAGGGTTGGGCCTTGGGGGCAGAGAAAGACAGAAGTCAGGGTACTGCGGGGGATGGGATGGGTGGACAGAGCACGTGAAGGCAGCAGGTGCTGTGACACCAAGGCCCTGGGACCAGCAAGTGGGGAGAGGGCACAGCTGTGTGGAGGGTGGGTGGGGATCACCTTTTTGACGCTGTCCGTGGAATCCAGGGCCTCATAGGGGCAAGAGCAGGTGCTTGCTCTACCAGTGAACCTGTGTGTGCGTGTGTGTGTGCACACGTGCGTGCACGTGCGTGTGTGGCTTTCCCCAGTGTTAGAGACTGAACCCCAGGCCTGAGCACGCTGGGCAAGCGCTATGCCACAGCTCCAGTGCTGGCCCTTGCTTGTATTTTTTTGGGCTCAGTCCCGATGTTCCAGCACCCAGGGAAGAGTTAGGGTGACTGGGCTTTGAGAGGCTGGGGCTCAGCAGGAGGCCAGGCTGCAGGTGTGGAGAGGGGTCCCGGGGGTCCAGCCGATAATGCCTTGTGGGGGAGGGGTGGCCTAGGCCACTCCAGAGCATCCAGGGCTCTGGCACCAGCTCAATGTGACAGGCAGAAGCAGACGCCAGGAAGAGGGCTCAGCGGGCCCTGACAGAGAGCCAGGTCCTGGGACACTGGGGACTGACAGATAGCTGCCTTCTGGCAGGAGGGGCTGAGGAGAAAGTGGGGTCCCAGAAGAGTACAGGAGTCCTCTGGGACAGGTGTCAGGGTAGGTCTCTTGTGGGGAGGGGCTAGAGTTGGCAGTTTGAGGTTCAAAGAGCTCATAATGTGCAGAAGATGTGTCCCTAACGTGTGGGGTAACTGAAGGAAATCTGAGTAGAGATGCCCCAGGGGTAGGGCAGGAAGGGCTGAGGTAAAGTCACATCAGGTGGCCAGAGTCAGATGTCTCTTTCTTGACCACACTTAACTTGACCACACTTAACTTTTTTGTTGTTGTTTTGTTTTTTTGAGACAGGATTTCCTTGTGTAGCTTTGTAGACCAGGCTGTCTTGAACTCAAAAACCTGCCTCTGCCTCCTTCCTGCGTGCTGGGATTAAAGGCGAGCGCCACCACTGCCCAGCCACACTTAACTTTTTTAGAAAATGTGTCTATGTTATGTGTATGGGTGTTTTAGCCTGCATGTGCAGACGTCTGTGCATTGTATGTATGCAGTACCCACAGAGGCCAGCAGAGGGCACTGGATCCCCATGTGGCTGCTGGGAATTGAACCTGGGTCCTCTGGAAGAGTAGGTGGTGCTCTTAATCGCTGAGCCCTCTCTCCAGTCCAGACCTCACTTATCCTAAGGGGAATAGGGAGTCATGGATGACATTAACAGGTGTGTATAGGTGCTGTCTATCTGGTCCTGAGGGGACAGTAGGCAGAGAGATGACAGTGTCTCAGAAGTAAGCTTGTGGTCGTGCGTCTTGGGAGAGAGGTCTGGTTCCCTCATGCCCCATTTCCCAGTGCCCTGCCCCTGGCTTCTGGCCCCCTGTGCCTGTTCCGAGTGAGATACAAGAAGTAGAGGCTGCCTTCTCTGTATGCTCTTCCTTCCCTGGCAGTTCTAACTTCCTGTCCACTCTCTCTTGTCTTACATGGACCTCACTTTGTTCACACAGATGCTATGCTCTCCCATTCTACAGATAGGTAACCCGAGGCTCAGGCCAGGGGCTATTTTGGTCTGGGAGGGTTTGTGGTGTGACTGGGGGCCTGGTCTTGGAAGGACAATAAAGGAGGTCATACAGGCCCAGGACCAGTGAGGATGGACATTCCAGAGGTCTTGAACCCAGCAGGGGGAGGGGGACACGGCACACGGTTTCCTAAGCCCTCACTTAGAAGAAGTTCAAAATTGTTCCAAATGCTGGCAGAACAGCCCAAGGGTCAGGATACTACCAAAGGCCTTCAAGATGTTTTGTGGTAATGTGTGCTCTTTGGGCAGTAGGGAAGTTCTGTATACTCTGGGCTAGCTCTGGGGTGGGGTGACGTGTCTCCTGCCTGCTGCGACTCTGCCTTGCTTACAGGCAGATCCTGGAGGGTTTGAAGCTGGCTGGCTTGGAGTTGGTATTTGGCTGACAAAGAGATTGATTCTCACCCACCTAGGGAAGGCAAGAAATGTCCCCATCATGCAAAGTCACACCTGTAATCCCAGCACACAAGAAGCCAATACAGGAGGATAATCACTAGTTCCAGGCCAGTTTGGGATTATGTAGTTGAGTTCCAGGCTAACCTGATCTATAGTGTGGGACCTTGTTTCGGTAAATAAACAAAATAAGAAATAGCCCGGGCCTGTGGGTTGGGGTCCCACTCAGTCCCATCTCTAGAAAGTCACTGGGGAGGAGGTGTGAGTGGCCCTCCTGGCACATGCCGGATCTGAGAAAGCAGGAGGCCAGTGTGTGCGGTCCCTGAGGTGCTTATGGGCCTCGGCACTTGGACAAGGGCTTGTGGTTGTATGGTGTGGCTATTCAGAGATCTGCCTGTCTCTGCCTCCAGAGTGCTGGAATTAAAGGTGTGAGCCACCACTACCTGGTTTACAGCCTGCTTTCTTACACAGTGCAGAAGAGGCGTGAGTCGGCTTAGGGGGCGTGGCCCTGGAGAGCGGATATAGCTGGGCTGGTTCACCCCGGAGTTGTGTGTCCTTGAGAACTTAGTTGTATGTGAGCATGAGGAAGGTGTGCCTGAGGACAGAAGTCTGCAGTGTCTGTGTCCCCCTGTGTGTGGGTTAGTCTGGGGGCGGCCTTGGTGGGCTGTAGATTGGGGGTCTCCATCAACCTACCCTGATGCCTCCCCTCCTCTCCACAGACATTCATCTTCACTGACAGCCCAGACGGAAACCTCCAGGAGAGACTGGGTAACTCCTCACTGGGGTGGTGGTCCTCCACTGTGCTCAGGAAAAGCAGCGTGGCTGTGACGGGGTCTTGAGATCCCCAGGAATTATGTACCCTGCCTTTGGCACTGAGGACTGCCTCGTGCCCAGAAGTAGAGTAGGTGTAAGAGGCTGCTGGACAAGGCGCCTTTCCATCTGCTGCCTCAGTTCCCCTGGGAGGGGATGAGCCCTCGGGCTCTCTGAGGTCCAGCCTTGTTGTCCTATGTCCCCAAGGGTCAGTGTTGGAGGAGGGCGCTGGGCAGGTCCCCTGACTGCTTCCCATTTCCAGGTTCCCACCTCGTGGTCACCAACTGTTCCGCAGAGCACAGCCATCCTGCTCTGTCCTGCAAGATGGCTGCAGAGTTCGATGCCTTCTTGGCCAGTGGGCTCAGGTCAGTGTTGCTAGGTCACTGGGGCCCGGGTGACTTCTGCCTCAGGCCATCTCTTTCATTTTTGTTGTTGTTGTTTTATTTTGTTTTCTTTCTTTCTTTTTTCCTTTTTGGAGAGAGGATCTCACTATGTAGCTCTGGCTATCCTGGTACTACTTTGTAGACCAGGCTAGCTTCAAACTCACACAGATCTGCCTGCCTCTGCCTCCTGAGTGCTGGAACTAAAGGTGTGGCTGGCTTAGTGTTTTAGAGTCACATTTGTTTGTGTGTTTCATTTGTCTGTGTGTGTCTCTCTGTGTGCATGCATGTGTTGGTGTATGTGTGCCATGGCATTGTGGGAAGGTCAGAGGGCGACTTTTGGGAACTGGTTTTCTCTTTCCATCCTCTTTCTGGCAGGTGCCTTTACCCCCTCAGCCATCTCGCTGGCCTCAGACCGCCTTTTGAACTGGGTGGGGCTGGGGAGATGGTTCAGTGGGTACAGTACTAACTGCAAGCCCAAGGACCTGAGTTCGATACCCAGTGCCTAGCCCAAATCACGTACACGTGCTTCTAACCCCAGTGCCAGGCAGTAGAGACAGGCAGGTTCTGGGGCTTGCTGGCATCACATCCTAAGCTCCTGGTCCCAGTGAGAGACCCTGTCTTGGGGGACAGTAACAGGAGGAACAGCTCCCAAGGGTGGCCTCTGGATGCATGCACATATCTGTACCTGAACATACTCAGACACGCACACCCCAGCACTCTGTTCCCCCACGAAATGGAGGGATCTGGGCCCAGGGAAGGGATCCTGGGGCCTCCTGGGGTCTGATTCACCCTTTGTCATCTAGCAGGCAGGAAGTGGACCACCTGGAGTCACATCCTGCCACTCACTGGCTGGGTGGCCTTGAAGCCTGTATCTATCTGAAAGTGGTCCAACTGTCCTATTAGAAGGAGTTCTATTCTAGGGGCTGGGGAGATGGCTCAGGGGCTAGGAGCACAGACTGAGTTCAATCCCCAGCAGCGGCATGGTGGCTCACAGCCATCTATAACGGCATTGGTGCCCTCTTCTGGCCAGCAGATGTATGTGCAGATAGAGCATTCATACATAAAATAAATAAAACTTTTTTTTAAAGTACTATTCTATTGGGAGCTAGCCTCCACCTGAATCCCCCAATAGCCCGAGTGGTGTAGTTTTAGGTCCTAAACCGGGGCCATCCCCATGAAAGAGGCCCCATGTGCTCTGCACCCTCCACCAATAGGATCTGCTTATCACGGACCCTTCCTCTGGGCCAGCGGTTCTCAACCTTCCCGATGCTTCCAACCTTTCACACAGTTCCTCATACTGTAGTAACCCCCCAGCCGTAAAACTATTTTCATTGCTACTTCATAGCTGTAATTTTGTACTGTTGTGAGCCATAATGTAAACGTCTGATATTTCTGATGGTCTTAGGTGACCCCAGCGAAAGAGTTGTTTCGCCCTCAGGGGGGTCGCGCCCCACAGCTGAGAACCGCTGCTCTGGGCCCCTAACCCTGAGCTCCGGTTGTCGGCCGATGGAATTCATTCTTATTGCAAAGGTCGCGGGCCTTTTGCCACTTTGCTAGGGAGCTTCGATGCAGCTCTGCCTAAAGCTTTGCTGTGATGACTGTCACATGGTAATCTTTCCCCAAAGCTGTCCTGTGTAAGAGACCACGAGGTCGGACTCTGGGAGATTTTGACCCAGCTCCTGCAAAGGTGGCGCTGAGTTCCATCCCTCACCGTTTGTCTGCCCTGACAGCTACCCGGCCCGTAGCTGTTAGCTCTTGATGGCGGAGGAACACAGCCTTTTCACAAGTTCGTTGTGACCCTGTCCCCACAGGTGGTTCTGCCACGTGGACGACGACAACTACGTGAACCCCAGGGCACTGCTCCAGCTGTTGAGAACATTCCCGCAGGACCGCGACGTCTATGTGGGCAAGCCCAGCCTGAACCGGCCCATCCACGCCTCTGAGCTGCAATCAAAAAACCGCACGGTGTGTTCCTAACCCCCTTTCCGGTTGGCTGGATACTAGGGGGCGGGACCTATCCATGAGGCGGGGCCTGATCCCTTCATAAGGCCTGGGTCATCCAGGAGTCCTGGCTTGGCAAGAAGGCCTGTGTCTGGTCTGCTGGGCTTTCTTGACACCATCCATGACCAAGACCCCAGGCACCTGGTATCACCTTGGATTTATACAGGATCTTAAAACGCAACATTTCTGGGCTGGGGCTGGAGCTCAGTTGGTAAACTGCTTACCTAACATATACAAAGCCCTAGGTCTGAGCCCCAGCACCACGGGGTGCATACCCCACCACCTGGGGAGGCCGAGGCAGCCATTGCCAGTGCTAGACCAGCCAGGGTTGCATAGTGGATTCCCAGGCCAGCCTGGGCTATACAGTGAAACGGTCTCAAAGCCAGAAACATACTGAGCTATTGCTGGGCCAGGTGACAGACAAACTGTGGTTGCCCAGAACTGTAGACTCCCCTAACTTCTTCACTGCCCAGCCACTGAAGTGTGGACACCAGGAGCTAGGGGGCCCAGAATCAGCTGACTGTGGACCCAGTGACAGTCATAGGATGTCACTATGGCCGGGTTAGAAAACAAACAGAACCTGGGGGACCTGTGCGCCCTGCTTCAACCAGATACCAGATAAATAATGAGGTTTTGCCTGTGCGCCCCTAATTGCACGGTTCTTCCCTGCCCCCAGTCTGCCTAGTTTCTGGAGCTCGGGTAGTAACCCCAGGGTAGGGAGAAGGCAGGGATGAGGAGGCCCCCTCTCAGGAGGCCCTGCTTGGAGCAGGAGCTGACGCTTGGGGCTTCCCCCCTCCCCAGGCCACCATCTGCTGCTCTGGGGGAAACCGGAGCCTTAATTATCAGTCACTCATCAGCCGCTGAGCCCTAATTAAATCCTCGTGGGCCCCAGGGTGTGTGTGCATGTGCCACTCCAGGTGAGCCGAGGGGTGTCCCCAGCCTCCACTCCGACCTCGCATCCAGCCTGAGCCCCTCTGCCTCCAGGCCTGAGGATTCCAGGCTGGAGCAAGCCCCACCCAGGGTTCATATGGCAGCCCCGTTGCTCCTGGCTTGGTGGCTCCGATTGAAGTTGGTCAACCTCTCTGTGTGTCAGTTTCTGGTCTGCGGAGCAGCTGACAACAGCAGGTGATCACAGGGTGGTTGTGAACACTAGAATAGGTGGGACCATCTGTCAGGGGCCCTGGACTGGGGACTGGATGAGTATTATGGGATTCATTTCTTAGCCACAGATCTTGCCTGGCCAGTTCCGCAACTGGCTGGGTACACCTGGACCTGTGCCCACTCTCCTGATTGCTGTAATAAATACCATGACCAAAGCAACTCTGGGAGGAGAGGGTCTACTTGGCTGTGCACCCCAGTGACCGTCCATCTTTGAGGGAAATCAAGGCAGGAAGGCATGGACGGGTGCTGCTTACTGGCTTGCTCCTCGTGACTTGCTTGGCTTTTTCTCTTATATAACCTAGGACCTCTTCCCAGGGGTGGAACCCTCCATAGTGGGCTGTGTGGCCCTTTCACACTGGTCATCAGTCAAAATGCCTCGTAGCTGGGCGGTGGTGGCGCACACCTTTAATCCCAGCACTCGGGAGGCAGAGGCAGGAGGATCTCTGTGAGTTTGAGGCCAGCCTGGTCTACTGAGCAAGTTCCAGGACAGGCTCCAAAGCTACAGAGAAACCCTGTCTCCAAAAAACCAAAACCAATCCCCCCCACAAAAAAAAAAGAAAAGAAAAAGCTTCACAGACTTGCTTACAAGCCAATCCAATGGAGGCATTGTCTCAATTGGGAGTCCCTTTTCCCCGGGCATCTCTAACTCGACACAAACTAGAGTCAAGTTAACCAGCACACCCACAACATGCATGATGCTCTCCTTGGCATATACCACCAAAGGGAGTGTCCCTCGCCCCCTATTCTGTCTTGGAATGTTCTAGAGTCCCAGAGTGCCCAGGCCAGTGCAGAGCCTAGAGTTCTTCAGGGTAGGGCAGCAAAGGCAAAAGAGCTCTGGCCTGGCCTTGGTAAGTGACCTCGGCCCCCATTCCCTGGTCACTGTGCTTGGGCTACAGCCTTTCCACAGCCCTTAGCACAGGGCCAGGCACAGGGATTGCTCAGACTGAGGTCCTTGCGATGTTTCTTTTGGTTGCTGTGATTTCATGGGAGTGGAAGCCACCTACTTTTTTTCTTTTAAAGACTTATTTATATGTGTACAGCATTTTGCATGCATGTGTGCCTACACACCAGAAGGGGGTGCAAGATCTTATTGTAGATGGCTGTGAGCTGTCGTATGGTTGCTGGGACTTGAACTCAGGACCTCTGGAAGAGCAGCCAGTGCTCTTAACCTCTCAGCCGTCTCTCCAGCCCCACACTTGTTAATTTTAATAAAACACACATTTATTAAGCACTTCCTCTTGGAACCCTGAACTATCTCTAAATGACACTTGTGGAAGTAAATTAGGAAGGAGGGCTGTTGGATGACAGAGCTGGACATCTGTCCTCCCAAACCTAACTGAAGACCCAGACTCTGGAAGAGGTTCCCTTGAGGTCCCATGGCTGGGCAAATGGGGGAGATGGAGACTTGGGCCTCCTCCTAGGGGTCTCTCTGCAAAAGCATCACGGGGAAAGCTCAGCCCAATGCAAGATGCATTTATTCAGCACCAACTGTATGCTTGTAGGAAGGTAAGGAGGCGGGGTGGTGTTTTTAGACCAAGACATGAAACTGCAGAAGGGAAAAGTTCTCCCAAAGGTCTGGAGAACCCACAGGTGAATTCAGGGTCGTCACGAGAGTGGGGAAGAGGCCGGGGCTGAGGTGAAGGTGGTCGTTGGGCCGGGGAGAGTGAGAGTAGATCTGGTGTAGGAGGCCTCAGGAAACACTGCTCCTCAGGCCAGTGACCCTGTGTGGAGGCCTCCCCACCCTGGTCTTCCTAGAGCACTCTGGGAAGGGATCTAATTGGCCGACCTAAGTCATGTGCCTATTGCTAGGCCCAGCCCTGGGCTGTATTCCTCTGTGGCCTAGGGGAGGAGGTACTGGGTCCCCCAAAGGAAGAGGGTAAAATGTCACATGTCTCTCTATCACTGCCACCCCTAGGATCCCTCTCCTATGGGGGCCTACAGAGATGTCTCAGTCCAAAGGCCTCCTCTTCCAGGAAGCCAGACTCTGGCTAGGTTTCCATTGCCCCCTGTGACCTGATCACTCATGAGTCCCTGTGTGACACTGGGCCTTGGCTCCCTGGCTGTAAAGTGGTGTTCTGAGGCCAGGCTTCAGCCTCCAGCGAGGCGTGAAGCATGGGAGCTTCGGGGTCATGGTGGCTGGGGGGAAAGGGTGGTCTAGCTGGTGCCCCTGAGTTCCCTGGGCTCACTGCCCGTCTCTGCCGTCCCCTTTCCAGAAGCTGGTACAGTTCTGGTTTGCCACAGGGGGTGCTGGCTTCTGCATCAGCCGCCAGCTGGCTTTAAAGATGGTGCCATGGGCCAGGTAAGCAGAGGCCCGGGAGTGGTGGGGGTGGTGGGGGTGGTGGGAGTGGTGGGGGTGGTGGGAGGGCGGGAGGGCGGGAGGGTGGGAGGGGCTGTTAGGTATGGGAGTGGCCTTTGAGGTAGGAGGGACAAGGCGGGACCCAGGGGAACTGCCTCTTATTCAGTTGTGTGAGGGCAGCCCAGTGGGGAACATCTCTGTTGACATCTAGGGAGTGTGGTTTGGTACCCTCTGCCTTCGCTACCCCATGTATGAATGGAACTGAAAATGTAGTGGCCAATGGCATTGTAAGGACTTAGTGGAAAAATATCTGGGTGGACACCATCTTTATCTTCTGATGGTTGATGTTTATAAGGTTATGCATTGGAGCCCTCAGAGATGGGGAGAGAGGCTATTGACTGGGGACAGCAGGAAGGCTTCCTGGAAGAGGTGGCATTTTATCTGAGACATCCCTGTAGGCCCCACAGGAGAGGGATCCTGGGAGCATGGGTGGGGGTGGAGGTAGCTGAGCCTGGCCTTCTCCCAGGCTGGTGTCAGTGGCCATGAACTCGCGTGGATCTTTGTCTCGGGTCAGGCTGTGCTTCACCGGGAGGACTAGAACAGGAGGGAGGGCAGTGCCACCTCTAGAACCCTCATGAGAGGTTGGCGAGCCTTAGGTCATCCAGGTTCAAGGTCACTCAGCTGCTCAGCCACTGTCCCTGTTTCCCAGAGCATTCCGTATGCCAGAGGGCATGCTGTCCTTAGGGCAAGTCCCGGCAGTCGCACACCTGTGACTAGGGTGCCCCACTGTGTTCTGCCCACCTCTGTGGTGCCCATCCCCACATAAATCTGTAGCTGGGGTTCTCTCAGCCTGGATTTCTGTGCCCACCCCACGCTGGCCAGGAATCCCGGGGAGAGGACATTGATGGTCCTGGACGGTCAGGAGATGTTTCCCGGACACTGGTTGATGCCACTGAAAGCCTACTGCTGCCTCTGGGAAGTCCTCCCTTCCTCCCCAGCCCTCCAGACCACATGCTTCCCTCTGACTCGGCCCCAGCCTCAGTTCCCCCGTCTGTGTCAGGCAGGAAACGCCCCTTTCTCATGTCTGGGTTCTCATTGCTAGTGAGGGACAAGGAGCCAGGGGGTGTCAAGCTGACTCTATGAGCGGAGGAATGGGAGGAAATGGGGAGAAGGAAGGAAACATTTAGCGGGGCTCCACACCATTCCTCTACCCAGTCCTTCTAGGACCTTCTTGGCAGGGCTGCTGCCAACCTATTCCTCAGGGGAGGAGCCTGAGACTCCCCAAGTTCCGGACTTGCCCAGTGTCCCAGGGCGGCATGCTGGCCCAGCACCGGCCCTGCTGGGAGGCGGGGGTGGGGGGATGGAGAGTGGGGGGGTGGGGGGTGGGAGTGGGGGTGGGGTGGGGCTCAGCTGTGCAGGGCCTGGGCCAGCGGCCACCGTCCAGCTCCGTCTTTCAGCGGCTCCCACTTCGTGGACACTTCTGCTCTCATCCGCCTCCCTGACGACTGTACCGTGGGCTACATCATTGAGTGCAAGCTGGGGGGTCGCCTGCAGCCCAGCCCCCTCTTCCATTCACACTTGGAGACCCTGCAGCTGCTGGGGGCCGCCCAGCTTCTGGAGCAGGTGAGTCAGCTGTGGAGCCGAGGGAGAGGGGTGGGGGAAAAGGGTCTCCCCAGGGGAAGGTTGGGGTACTTGAAATCAACCTGGAACTTGAGCTTATGGGGCTTGGCCATCGCATACTGATGGGGAAACAGAGGCCCAGGGAGCAGCACACCCCTTTTAGACACAGTAGCTCAGGCCCCGAGGACTTTCCAGGCATGGGTGATGTCCCCGGGTCTCCCCCCTTGTCTCTCTTTCCACTCTGAATCCTCCGTCCTCCACACTGTCCTCCTGAGGAGCCAGGAAGAGCCAGGTGGCCCTCCCACTCCTGTCTGGAGTCCCCTCCATCACAGGCTCCTGGTGCTGCTCACTGGTCCTCAAAGCCCGTAGTGAGTGTTGAACCTGCGCCTGGCAGGCTGTAACTGCTCCTGGGGCACACTGGCTTGGCTTGTAGACCTGCCTGCCAGCCCCACTGCCTGGCCAGAGGGCTCCTGCCCTACAGAGTCAGAATTTGGGGTACACGTGACAGTACTCATATGAAACTGAGTAGCAAGGAGGGACAGGGCATTCAGAAGGGACTGTCTCCTCTCCCATCCAATCTCTCCTCACTGGTCTTGTCTTCAGGTGACTAGGTCCTTGGGATGATCTCAGCCCTAGGTCTGTAGTCACCATGGAGAGAAGGACCACAGACCATCAGCTGACCCTTAGATCCCATGATCTGATGGCCTAGCTTGGGTCAGTGCCTGGAGCCAATAGATTGCCTAGGCGGGGAACCAGGGTGTGGGGCCCACCTACCGGGAAGCCAGGAAAGGTGGACAAGTTTGGGGTGGCCAGAAGCAGGGCATCTAACTGGCACTGCCTTTGTCACACCTGGCAGCATGAGGGGCCTTGCCCTCTTCACTCTGTCCCTGCCAGTCATCACTCAGGCCCCCCTTGGCATCTACAGGAACTGCCTCCAGGGCCCCGGGGACCCCCAAACCCTCAACCTCAGTCCCTTATGTGAAGGGCTGCAGTGTTCCGCAGAACCCGAAGCCTCCTCCACACACATTAAATCAGCTCTGGGCTATTTCCCATTCCTAATAGAATAGAAAGGCTCGGTAGAATGTCACGCTGTGTTGTTTAGGGAATAGAGGAGAAGGGAAAAAAGTGCACAGCACAGATGCAGTCGCTGGGATATTTTCAGTCCATGGTTGGTTGAATCCACAGATGTAGAAGCTGCAGATACAGGGCCGACTATAGGGTTGGGAGGTAGCTTAGTGGGGAGGACAAGCATGTGGTGTGTGAAGCCCTGAGTTTGATCCCTGGGCCTTCAGAAACCGGGTCTTGTGGTGCAGACCTCTAATTCAGTTCTTGGAAGTAGAGGCAGGAGTACCAGAAGTTTTAGCCCCTGTCTAAATATAAATCTCCAAAGGCCAACCACAAATATTATCCCCATTCTAGATGGGAAAACCAAGGCCCAGAAGACTGAGCTAATTGTGGCACAGAGGGAGGTGCAGCCAGAATGGTGATTGTGAACCCTGGGGGCCACCAAGCCATCAGTCTTCAGCTATGGCATGTGTCTGCTTCTTAGCTGAAGTCTCTGTGGCTTATCTTCCTGACCTGGTTCAGTCCAGGATTGGCTGAAGCCTGCACGGGGCTGTGGAAACCTCCTAGCTAGTCCAGACACTCAGCTGAGGGGACCGATCCCTTCTCAATGAGCTTGGTGTCCAAACCTGTAGGAAGAGGGAATCACCAGTGTCCTGGGTAAGCTTGGCTGCTGGGGCCACATAGACGGAGGCAGGAGGGAGCCTTCAGGCTGCAGTGCCTCTGAGGAGGGGCTGGGCTCCATTGGTGCAGGAGGCTCAGGCCTCTCTGAAGACCCAGAGTCTTCCCTGCTGGTATCAAAATGCTCCCCTGTGGTTCTCCCCCAAACACCCTCCCATCTCCCCCAGGTCACCCTCAGCTACGGTGTCTTTGAGGGGAAACTGAACATCATCAAGCTACAGGGCCCCTTCTCCCACGAAGAGGACCCTTCCAGGTGGGTGTGGGCTGAGGTGCAGGGTGGAGGTGGAGACCTAGGCACCCAAGGACGGAAGAGCCTTGAGGGAAAGTAGGTCATGGTGACTGAGCACACAGAACTGGAGCAGAGAGAGTAGGTTTGCATTCTCTTTGTGTGACCTTAGATAAGTATCTTGTCCTCTCCGGGCTTCCGTCTCTCCATCTGCAGCACTGGGGCCCACGGCTGTTCCAAGAGCCCTGTGGTCAGGGCTATGGTAAGCACAGCCCTTTTGAGGAGACAGAATTTGGCTCAGTGCAACGAAGAAGAAATTCAGAGTTCCAAGAGGAAAGAGAGCTGCCTTTTTTGTTTGTTTGTTTTTCCAGACAGGGTTTCTCTGGAGCTCACTCTGCAGACCAGGCTGGACTTGAAATAAGAGATCCACCTGCCTCTGCCTCCTGAGTGCTGGGATTAAAGGCGTGCACCGCCCGGCAAGGAGCTGCCTTTTAGTGGACTGAGCTGCCTGTCAGCAGAGGCATGCGAGTCAGAGCCTCAGTTAGTTGACGTACATTTTTTTTTTTTGGTGAGCCTGAAGATTCTAGAACTCAGTCAGGGGGCTCTCGGTGTCTCAAAGGAGAGGCTCTCAAATCAGGGGTGGTTTTGCCAATGTCCGGAGGCAGTTCTGTTGCTACACCCTGGGGGTGCTGCTAGCCTTTCCTGGGTTGAGGCTGGGGATGTCACTGTCCTGCCGGGCATGGGATAGCCCCATGTGACATGGAGTTACCCGGGCTGAGCGTTCACAGTACCAGTGGGTCAGTTGGGGTAACTGTCTTCCCTTGATGGCCTCTTCACAGGTTTCGCTCCCTCCATTGTCTCCTCTACCCGGACACACCCTGGTGTCCCCTGGCGGTGGCACCGTGAGCTCTGAACTGCTGCAGAGATTGATGGACACTTCTGCCTGCTCCCCCATCCCCTAAGTGGTCCCGAGGGCTCCTGGGCGAGTGCCCATGACAGATGGTTCCTCGTAGGACCTCTGGGTGACAGGAAAGGCCGGGACCTGGACTGTGGCTGGTGTTGAACGTGTGTCAGGCCCAGGCACCTGGTCACACTGTAGAGACTGTGAGTTAGGGGGTGCTCAGGGTCCTTACTCTCCTGAGAGAGACGTGTGCCCTGACTGGGGGGTCTGACCTCTGGCTCTGGCCTCAGCCATTCCTTGAAGACCAGCCCCATCAGGACAAAACCAGGGTCTGTGACCTGCGGCTGCGGGACTGGTCTCAGTTGCTCCTGGCTCTCTGTACCTGACCAATGGACCTGGACTTTGGGAGCTCAGCAAGGTCAGATGGCTCATGGTGGTTCCCTGTCAATTGTGCCCTACCTTTGGTTCATTGTCCCAGCCTTCTTTGCTGTGAGGAGTTACCATATAGCTCAGCGGGAACTGAGGAAAGCCAGTTGAGGCTTCTGGAGTAAGTTCCACAGCCAAAGACCCTTTCTTCCTGCTGTGAATGTGGGTATGATGGCTGGATCTGGGGAAGCTACTTTGCCACCATGAGGGAAAGGCCCAGACAATCATTTAGAGCTGTTCTTTCTGACATCTGATCTGTGAGAAATTAAACCTTTATTTAAGTCTCTCTGGGTCCAGTTTCCTGCCATGGGCATTCAGTGTTCCTAGCTGGGCCAAGGTCTCTGATCAGTGATGATGACCATGTTTGGTGGTGGGTTGTGGTGTGTGACTCAGAGCCTGGTTCAGGGGGAGGGAGAGCTTGGTAAATCAGGACTATGGCATGTGTGTGTGTGTGTGTGTGTGTGTGTGTGTGTGTGTGTGTGTGTGTGTGGTGTGTGTGTGGATGGATTTGTGGCTGTGACATGCACCTGATGGGTGTGTGAGTTGCAGTGCTGGGAGCTCTGCCTCCTTTCCCTGCCCTCAGTGCATGGACTGGGGACCTCATGGTATCTGGGAAGTTAGCACAGTGACTCTGAGCTGAGGATTTGCCTTGCATGTCAGCTAAAGGTGGCAGCATCGACTGAACATCCAAAGTAGAGGCCAAGCAAATACAATGGCCTTTAACGTCTATGGGATCCAGGAGGCTGGATGGGTGAATAGACAGGACCAGGATGGTAGGGGCCTTCAGGGAAGGAAGCACACGAGAGGATAGGGCATGAGGGGACTGTCATTCTCTCACCGTGAACAGAGCTCAGGGAGTTGGGGCCAGGCCTGGGCCCTGAGAGAGGTAAGGAGGGAGAGGTGTGCGGTTAGAGGAGCGTGACCTAGGCTGCCAGGGTCCACAACTCCTTCGGACATATCCTCTACCCTTGAAGGACCAGAATGTTCCAGTACGTCTGTGTTTGGCATGTTGGGGACCACCAGATGCCGATGTCTCAGTCTCTGAGGACTTGCTGTGCGCCTGGTGAGCCGGTACAGACTTCCAAAGCTGCCGTCATCCTGGCTGACATCACGTGAGTGGGATGCTGGCAGAGGGAGGCCCTGTAACCCAGAGCCAGGTGTGGTGAGGGCAGTAGCCCTGTCCACAGCCACTGGCCCCTCTTAGAAGCTGCAGCAGGGTTTCGTGTTATTCTCAGATCTGAGGATCGGGTGGTGAGAAGAGGGCTCCCACTATCTGCTGCCTCCATTGTCCCAGAATAGCTGGGCAGGGAAGGGAGCAGCAGGGCCTACGCTGAGATGGAGGGACTGGGGGTGGGGCTTAGCCCTCTGGGATCTATGGGGACGGTTCTCAAGCTCTTTGGCCCAAGCTTCCGAGGGACACATTTGAGCCCAAAGGCAGAAACCAGGAGTGGGCAAGGGCGAGACACCCTGCAGAAGCCTTGTTTGACCCTCAGTCCCCTCACCTACGGCCTGGACTGCCGAACAAGCTGCACACAGCTCATAGCTCATAGCCGGGATGAGCGGCTGGGGGTAGCAGCTGGCCTTTGGGCTTGGCAACTGAGGTAGCCAAGGGGATGGAGGGGAGGTCTGGAGCAGCTTGGTGGCTAATCTTGTTGTCAACTTGGCATACTTGCTTGGAAGAGGGAACCTCAGTTGTAGAATCGCCTCCATCAGACTGGCCTGTGGCCATGTCTGTAGGGCATTTCCTGGGTGGATAATTGGTAGAAGAGGGCCTAGCTTACTGTGGCAATGCCATCCCTGGGCAGGTGGTGTGTTGGGAAAGCAGCTGAGCAAGCCAGAGGAAGAACGCTCATGAGCAGTGCTCTTCATGGCCTCGGCATCGATTCCCGCCTAAGCCCCTGTGCCGACTTCCCTCACGGAGTGTGCTGTGGAGCTGTACGTGGAAATAAGCCCTCTCTTGCACATGTTGCTCTGATTTTGGTGTTTATCACAACAGAAAGCAAACCAGGACAGGCAGTGCTAGAAGGGGCCTGGGTGTCTCAGTTAGCCCCCATCCCTAGCCAGGAGCCAGCAGGGGATCAAGTGAGCCCGTGCCCCTCCCACCCACACCACACCTTTCAGGAGCCAGCCTAGTGGATCACGGAGACAGAATTTATGGAGCTAGTGATGGGGTGTCTCAGTGTTGTCCTGTCGTGGACAAAGAGGCCACCAGCTACACAAACTCGAGCACAGGCCATCTGGACGACACTGTCAGCCAGACTCTAGTCACATGTAGTGCAACCTCCTGCAAGCTTACTATGTAGCTGAGGATGGACTTCAACATTTAATCCTTGCTATTTCTGGGATTATAGGCATGTGCCACCATGCCCAGTTTACGTGAAGATGGCGTGTCTGTGGCCGCATCAAACCCAGGGCGTTGTACATACTAGGCCAGCAATACCAACTGAGCCAACCAAGTCCTGCCCCCAATTCTAAGCATTTAACACGAGCCAGGTCACTTCAAGTTAACCTGTTTGAAGCAGGAACCATTATTATTCCTGTTTCTTAGATTAGGAAACCAAGGCATGGGGGCGTGGCTCAGGCCTGCTTGTGGGGTAGCGGGCCTGGGCCAGTTGCCTCTGTAGGGGATGATTTTGGAGGGCAGGGGAGCTCGGCAGTTCCGGGCCTCATCCTCTTGCCTTTCTCGGGCTCTGTGCATTGGGCAAGTGGCTCTCCCGGGAGAGATGCACAGCGATATCCCCACCATGCGAGCTAAGGTGTGCCCAGCACAGGAAGCTCTTTGTGGGCATTTGCTCCTCAGTTCCTCCCTGCCCTCCCCGAGCTCATTCTCTCAGTAGTGAAGGGGTGGAGGACTGAGATGACCATGGTCCTCACCATGGGTCCCAGGCTCAGTAGCCCTGCCACTCTGAAGACCCCTGCCCTTCCTCACTGTTGCTCAGGGCTCCCCTGCCCAGCCTCGCTCTTCTGCCCCCACATAGGGAGGTCCCCACCCCCAGATAGATCAGGATCTGCGTGCTGTCGGTTGCTCAGCTGCTGATGACTGCACCCTTAATCTTCTGTGTGTGTGTGTGTGCATGTACATGTGTGTGGGTGTATATGTGTGCATGTCTGTGTGTATGTGTGTCTGCATGCATGTGTGTGGTGTGTGTGGGTATATGTGTGTGTATATGTGTTCATGCATATGTATGTTTGTATGTATGTGTGTGGGCATATATATGTGTATGTGTCTGTGTGCATGTGTGTCTGCATGTGTGTGCATGTGTGTGCATGTGCATGTATATGTATGTGTGGCATGTGTATGTGGTGGTGTGGTGTGTGTGTGCATATGTGAACATGCATGTGTATGTGTGTATGTGTATGAGTATGTGTCCATGCAGTGCATGTGGGTGTATGTGTGTATGTGTGTATATATATGTACATGTATGTGTACATGAGGTGTGTATATGCATTTGGTGCATGCATGTGTGTATGTGTATGTGTGTGGGGGTGTCTTTTTCTTTTTTTGGCAACAGGGTCTCCCACTGGCTTGGAGCTCATTGATTTGGCTAGACCGTCTGGCCATTGAGGCCCAGGATCCTCCTGCCTCTGCCTTCCCAGGGCTGTGATAAAAAATGAATGCCACCACCACTTCTTATGGGGTGTTGCGTTTGAACTCCGATCCTTGTTCTTGCAAGGCAAGCACTGTACCGACTCAGGTCTCCTTCTGGCACTGGCTCACTTTAGTGTTTGCTGACCCTTGACTTTAAGTGGTCCCAGCATTTAGGGGTCCTGTCAGCTGTGTTCCCTGCAACTCATACCTTGGTAGATCCTTGGGATATCCGAGGGATGGATAGAAAAAGGAGGCAGTGGGTTTCTCCCATGCCTCAGGGCTCCGAAGGGCTGACACCAGGATTGGCACGTGATGGGGTGGGCTTTGCAGCCGATGTGCCGGCCACACCAGGACCCACCCGACAGTGCGTGCATCCTTCCAAAGCATGTCCCAGGCGTGGGCAGGTAGGAGTCCCAGCATTGCTCGGAAGTCACTTACCTTGGCAGCTGGCCCCGGGGTTAAATGGCATCATGAGGTTCAATTCTTCAAGTCCTCCGTGGGGACAATTGTACAGGAGTGGAGGACCCGGTATCTTCAACAAGGGAAGAAGAAAGAGATGAAAGGAACTCAGCCCTCGAATCTGGTTTTGATCTTAATTCAAATCAATGGGCCTTAAAAAGATGCTTTTGAGGAAAATGAGGAAGTTTGAGCGGGTACTGTGCATTAGACGGCTTTAACATCTCTACAAGAGACAGTGGTATTGAGGCTTTTTGAGAAATGTTCTAATATGTGAGAGATACATTCTGAAATATTTATGGGTGGAATATGTCTAGAATTTTTGTTACAAAGAGGCCTGAGGGGAGGCATAAAATAAGACTGGCAGAGTAGGGTGGGGCTGGAACCTTGGATCAGCATGCTGCGTTCATTATGACATCGCCCTCCCCCATTGTGTTCCCATTTGAAACTTTCTACAATAAAAAGAATACTAAATAATAAAAGAATGTCTATGGGCATTCCATTTCCCAGATATGGCTCTCCCCCTCTCTCCCTTTCCTCTCTGCCCCACATTCAGGCCCAGAGAACATCTGTTTTCCATGGGCACATCTGTCCTGGCACCCACTGCTGGGGAGGCAGGCTTGTTGGGGCTGGCCCCTTCTGCTCTGCATTTGGCTCTTTGCCTGGCCTCCCCGAGGCTCACCCTGATTCCTTTTGGTTCTGAGCACTGGTCCCAGCTGCCTTGTAGCCCAATGGCCCTTTCCCTGACAAAGGCCGACACCCCCCCCTCCTGTCCCCTCCACCACTCATCCACGAAGCGACTTCACTGCTCACCTCCTGGGGTGGGCAGATGGGATCTGTGTTAGATCCTACCCAGGGAATCCAGGTGCAAATCTCTGCTCTGAACAGGAGCCTCAGATCCTGGAGGGGAGAGCGTGTGTTGGTGAGGACATAGCATAGCATGAATGTGATAATAAAATGTAGCTGGGTGGCATGGGGGAGGGGCGTAAGGGGTGGCAGAAACTCAGACGCCTGATGTAGAATATGGTGTCTGATCTGAGTCTCGAGCTAAGGGGAGGTCTGAAGGACTGGGGTGCATCACACAGACAAGGCTGTGGAGGCCCAGGGGGAAGAGACAGGCTTCATCGCTAGCTGAGTGCAGTCACTCACACGGATGCTAAGTCATCCAAGAGGAAGCAAGTCTGATGTGCCTCGTTCATCGCCCGTATTCTGTAGATAGGCCCACACTGTCCAGGTGCT